CTGGGGCCACTGCTGTCTGATGGAATGATCTAGTCTCCTCCTGTCTGCAAGTATCCTGCAGATCAAACTCTCCATACAGATGTCCTATGGGGCAGCGGCCCATTTTGCATGGAGGAAGAGTCACATGGACTAGGGCAGTGATGGCAAACCTTTTAGAGACCGAGTCCCCAAACTGCAACTCAGAACCCACTAATTTATTGCAAAGTGCCAACACTGCAATAAAACCTGAATTTGCTGACAGCACAAGGGGGCAATGTTCCACTGACCACCAGCTTTTGGCTGGCCCTGAAAAAGGCATCTGAGTGTATTTCCTACCTGAGTTTATCTCCTACCTTTCCTACTTCTGCTAAAATCACAGTCCAAGCAAATCCCTGGCAGCTCACTGACTGGCCGTGCAAAAGCTCAGTGAGCTGTGCAGCTAATGAGTGATGTGGTTGCCTGGCACCTTTAATCTTTCGGAATATGCGCATGGCTGCTGGGGCGTGAGCCATAGGTTGGCCATCACTGGACTAGGGCTTTAGATGGTGTGCCTCATGCACCCTCTGGGCTGTGAGGGGGTGGAGTAGTCAGGCTGCTCCTCCAGCAGGCAAGGGCAACCTGCCCAGTACATGCATGAGCCAGGACAGGAGTCCCACCATCTGTCCGGAGTTGATCATGGTCTAGTGCAGGGGTCGGTAACCTTTAACACTCAAAGAGCCATTTGGACCCATTTCCCACACAAAAGAAAACACCGGGAGCCACAAAACCCTTTTGACATCTAAAATGAAGATAACACTGCATATATCGTTTTTTACCTTAATGCTATGTATATCTTCATTATGATTTAGCTGCAGCTCTTGTTCAGTCACTAAAAACTGCTATTTTTAATCTTACATTATAAACTAGTAGGACTCCTTTCATATATTTTGAATAGGAGAACACCTTCCTGAAGAGTCAAAGTCAGTGCTAAAGGGCTGCATGCATTAAACAGCAAACCCCATAAGTTCGTTAGCAGTAAAAGCAAATGAATCTACCCACTTATCATTAAACGTTTGGTTTTCTTCAGAAACTTTTCTTCAATTTATCCATGGTTGGCCTATGGGAGGGTGGAGCTCAGTAAATCAGCAAGGCAGTTTGGCTTTGGTGACATGGCATGGAGATATAGGTGTGTTCAGTGACTGATTAGCAGATAAACAGTCAAGTGCTGTGAATTGTGACAGGCCCCAAGCGCAGCTTTTAACATGCAGATGAAGATTACATTGGGACAAAGAGAATCTTTTCAGCAGAGTTTAGTGTAACACGAGAGCCTGCAGGAAGCTTGTTTAGCAGAGGAATGTAATGATTTACTTAATTAGCTACCTGAGTGGAGCTTCCAGCAGATCAGCAGCTGTGCCGTGCCGCCGAGTGATGGAGCCTCAGCAGAGGGGTTCAAGAGCTACGGGCGGCTCCGGAGCCTCGGGTTGCTGACCCCTGGCCTAGGTGGAAGCAGCCTTAATATTTTGGTTGCTATTCATTTGGTGAATTCACCCACAGAAGCTTCTGTTGTGTAAAGAAACACTCAATTCTTTGAAGGGCAGATGACTTGAAGACTATCAACAGCACAGAACAGTTGAGTCATGCAAAGACTTTCATGCCTTTCCAGTAGGTAGTGGAAGTGTGGCCACAAAATGGGAGCAGTGGCCCAAAAACGAGAGAATCAGAGCGAGTCAGAAGTCTGACCCCCAGCTCCAGCTGGCTCTGCTTATGACATGCCTACCATGTGCATGACCAGCCTATCCTTGAACACCCAAGCCACGACCAACACCAGCAGATGCCTGCTGTAGGACAAGTTGTTTACACAGATTTCCCCACTTATATACACAATTGCCTGTAACTGTGACTGCCAGTGCAGTGCACCGTTCAATGTAGTGCAAGGCCGGCATCAAGGTTAGGCCTGGCCTGGTTGGACGCCTGCCAAGGGCCCACCTGCAGCTCAGGAGGGGTCACCAACAAGAGCCCCTGGGAGTTGCTCCTCCTTGCCGCCCCCCCCCCACCTGCTTGTTTCCCCACTTCTCACTCTGGCCCAGACAACGATGGCATTGAGAAGCAGCAGCAGAGGTGTTGAGGACCCACTGGAACTTGCTGCTGGGCTTCGGGCCTATGAAGCCAGCAGCAGCAGCAGCGAGAAGACAGCAGAGGAGGAGCAAGGGCAGCTGCTGACCCCCTGAGCGAGGGACCTCTAGGGCTTTCCAAAACCTGGAGCTGGCACTGGAATCCCTGCCTGGGAATAAAACCTCTGAAAGCAAAGGACAACCCAACACAGTATTATCAGGATTTAAAAACAAAATCGTTTTCTCAACAGGGCAGGAAGAGGGTGATCTGAGGGTGAGGAATTTAGGTCTGACTCCCCTGTCATGGTCAGACCACTTCCTCGTGAGGTTTGAGCTCGAGAGCTGTCTTTCCCCCTGTAAGGGTACGGATCCTGATGGATTCCTGGAAGCTCTGGGGGAATTTCCAGTTGACAAGGCTGGCACTCCTGTTGAAGCTCTGGTCGAACTGTGGAATGGGGAAATGACCAGGGCTATTGACACAACTGCTCCTAAGCGTCCTCTCCCATCGGGCAGAGCCCGTTCATCCCCTTGGTATACACCTGAATTATGGGTGATGAAGCAGGTTGGGAGACGGCTAGAGCTTAGGTGGAGGAAATCACGGGATGAATCTGACCAAACACACTTAAGAGCCCACTATCGGGCCTATGCTGTGGCAGTGAGGGCGGCAAAAAAGAAATTTTTCTCCGTGTCCATTGCCTCCTCACAATGCCATCCGGCAGAGCTTTTTTGGGTGGTACAAGGGCTGGTTCACCCAGGCCCTAAGAAAGACCTGGTACCACCCTCGATGACCCGCTGTGACAACTTTGCCAAGCATTTTAGGGAGAAAATCGCTCAGATTCATCACGAGCTGGACTCCACTAGTGACTCAGAGCCTTCAGGGGAGGAGCCAATGTTGCCATCTGGTGCACAATTGATGGATGAATTTCAGTTATTGCGGCCTGTTGATGTGGAAAAGGTGCTTGGACAAGTACATTCCACCACCTGCTTATTTGACCCTTGCCCATCTTGGCTACTCAAGACAGCCAAGGACGGGATAGGGACCTGGATCCTGGAGGTTATCAACGCCTCTCTGAGGGATGGCCAGGTACCTGCCCCTTTAAAGGAGGTGGTAGTCTGGCCTGTCCTAAAGAAGGTATCCCTGGATCCAGAGGTGGCCACAATTATAGACTGGTGGCCAACATCCCGTTTCTGGGCAAGGTGTTAGAGCGGGTGGTGGCGGGACAACTCTAAGCACTCTTGGAGAAAACTGATTATCTGGACCCATTTCAGTCCGACTTCAGACCCGGGTATGGTACTGAATCTTCCTTGGTCGCCCTGTATGATGACCTGTGCAGGGAGAGAGAGGGGGAGTGCGTCCCTGTTGGTTCTCCTGGACCTCTCAGCGGCTTTTGATACCATCGACCATGGTATCCTTCTGGATAGGCTAGTGGGATTAGGAGCTGGGGACACTGCCTTGCAGTGGTTCTGCTCCTATTTCAATGGCTGATTCCAGAAGGTGGTGCTGGGGGACTATGGCTCTGCACCATGGCAGCTATGCCATGGAGTACCGCAGGGGTCCATTTTGGCCCCTTTGCTGTTCAACATCTACATGAAACTGCTGGGAGAGGTCATTAGGAGGTGTGGGCTGCGGAATCATCAGTACGCTGATGATACCCAGCTCTACCTCTCGTCCTCTACCAATCCAGGTGAGGCAGTGGCTGTACTGAACCGGTGCCTGGCCGAGGTAATGAGCTGGATGAGGGCCAATAAACTGAGACTTAATCCAGATAAGACAGAGGTCCTGTTGGTAGGTGGATCGGGCTTTGGGATGGGGGACTTTGATCTGTCCTGAAAGGGGTTGCACTCCCTCTTAAGGACAGGGTCCGCAGCTTGGGAGTGCTCCTCAACCCAGAGCTATCGGAAGCTCAAGTGACAGCGGTGGCGAGGAGCGCTTTCCTTCAGCTTTGGCTGATCCATCAGCTGCGTCCCTACCTGGAGAACAACCGTCTGGCAACAGTGACACATGCATTGGTCACTTCCGGATTAGACTTTTGTAACGTGCTCTACGTGGGGCTGCCCTTGAAGACGGTCCAGATACTTCAGTTGGTGCAAAATAGAGCTGCCAGGCTGCTGACGGGGACTGGGCATTGTTCTCATATAACCCCAGTCCTCCATCAGCTCCACTGGCTTTCCATTGAAGTCCTGGCCCAATTCAGGGTGCTGGTTATCACCTACAAAGCCCTGAACGGCTTAGACCCTGGTTACCTAAAGGAACGCCTGCGTCCATATATGCCCTCCCACCCCGAGACTGGTGACAGAGACCCTTCTCCAAGAACCCTCCATGAAGGATATTTGGAGGGTGAGTACTCGGATGAGGGCTTTCCCTGCGGTGGCGCCCAACCTATGGAATGCGCTCCCCAAAGAGGTCCGCCTGGCACCGTTCTTTGTTTTTCGGCACCAGGCCAAGACCTTTTTATTTAAATGCTATTTTAATTGTTAATGGTTTATTTGTTCGTTTAAATTGACCAGGCTGGATCCACTATTTTATTTTTTGTATTTTATTTATTTGATTTTTTTTGTATTTTATATGGGATTTTAATGATTGTAAGCTGCCCCGAGGCTCATGCAATGGGACGGCATGTAAGTTGTTTAAATAAATAAATAAATAAATAAATAAATAAATAAATAAATAAATAAATAAATAAAATGCAAATGCAGTTCAGAACTGTAGGTTATAGAGCAGAACTAAGCATTCCTCCAAGGCATAAGAGAAAAAAACTCTATATGCCTTTAAAAGGGTGAAAAAAAAGGTGGGGAGGGAAGACTCCTAGGCCTCCAAAAATGGCAAACTCAAGTCTACGTAGTGTATAAAAACCCAGATCAGTAGGACCAAGAGATGAACCTGATGACTGCTTTTTCCGTACATCCCAAATCTGAACAATTAGATTCTTCGAAAGTAGAAAAGGCAAGAATGCTTTCTTTATTTGAATACAAATATTAAGAACAAATCATACTCACATTTGCCTCTTCCTCACAAGTACACATTTATTTCCCACCTTTCTCCCATAATGGAACTCAAGGTGGCTACACGTGGTCTGCAGGTGGTCTCCCTTCCAAGTTCAGGCCAGCTCCAGACAGGCTTAGCTTCAACATGGTGGATGCGTCATGTGCCTTCAGATCATACTTGGAGCACATGGATTTTATGTGTGTGCGCATATGTGCAACACTCTCTAAGGAAGGGCGATAGTTACTAATATTGCTGCTTCGCCAGGTTGCCAGCCTGAAGGAAGGAGGAGCAGCTTTGAAGCGGCAAAAGGGTCAAAATTAGCTTCTTATAAACATTAGAAAGCAAGAACAGCATATAAGAAAATGCACACTACAAACTCAGAATTACATGGGCTGCCACTCTTTGTTTTACTACAACACACTGGAAATGTTTTACATAGTTTTGTCTTTATATACAAGTAATGCCTCAGCACTTTAAAGTGAAAGTAAAGACTTATCCTTTGCTAAATCGATTAGTTCAAGGTTAAGTTCCTGCCCAACAAAACCAGATTAAAAGTATTACTGCTGTCAGGGTTAAGTGCTGGCACATTAATTACACAACAGGTACTTGGAATGTGTGACCCATCAAGCCAGATGTTCAACCATCTTTTGTTTCTGCAGGCAGGTAATAAAAATAGGAAACTTACTGAGCTCCTAGTAAGTTCAGATTGGCTTGGTGGGGCACAACTTATATAACTGGTATTATATATCCAGATGTAAACTAGCATAATAAATGAATGTCAGTTTTATTTCATCAGCAGCTCTTCTAGTGGATTCAGCAACTCACAATGCAACCTCTAATTCCTGATATCACAGAATAGCTGCAAGATGAAATAAAGCTGAAATATATTGGCTGCCTTTTAATCTTTTCCCAGCATCCAAATTTGAAAATAGTAACATGAATGTGCTACTAAAATTATGCATCTAATTAAGCTAGACACTTGTTAAACATTTTTCCTACTGATACCATTAAGTGCAGATCACTCATGTCCATATCAAATTCCCCAGACGCATCAGAATACACTTAGTGTAAATTCACAAAGCATGAGTCAGACTGTTTAGGTAGATTTAAAAGCACATGTCCATGCAAATTCTGAAAGGGTCTTTAATCTTTTATAATAATTCCAACGTTGATAATGTTCAATAAATGTTTAAGCTTAAGCTGGTCCTTCAAAATATTGAGGTATATCATTAAACAGACGTTTGCTTGTAGTTTTTTGTATCCAAGACTTTCTTCCCACACATTGCGCAGATGCCTATTAACAAAAAGAACAAGGAAGGTGAAACTTTCTTGTCCACTTAGTTGCATGTATATAATCTTGCTCTTTGCTGTATTAAACACTTTAAATGTGCAGTTCTAAGGAGATAAATGTAAGCTCCTGAACTCAGAGACGCATCCAATGCAGAACAGGAGAAGTGGGCAAGGCCATCTTTAGTTGTCTCCCCGCTCTGCATTTTCACTAGACCACTGGTCTTAACCTATAAAGCCCTACATGGCTGCAGAAAGCAACATCTGTTGGAGTGCTTCTCCCAACTCCAGTCTACCCAGATACTACAATCAACCTCTGGAGCCTTCCTCTGGGTGCCGAGCCCTTGACAGTCTCAGAGGGTGGCCTCATTCCCAGATCTCAGTGGAGTATATTGGGAAAGGCGGTCCTTCAAGTAACCAGGTCCCAAGCCATTTAGGGCTTTGTATGTTAAAATAAACACTTTACATTGGTCCCAGGTTTCAACTGGCAACCAATGTAATTTATACAGAATAGGTGTTATGTAGGCACACAAACTGACACCTAACCCCAAACCCGCAGCCCTATTTTGGACCAGTTGAATTTTCAGGATCACTTTCAAAGGCAGCCCTACATAGAGTGCATTATAGTAATCTAGCTGGGATATTACCAGTGTATGAGTAACTGTGGTCAGCCTGTCTGTTCAGATAAGACCATAGTTGTATTCACTGCAGCTGGAAGAAGGCATTCCTGGGCCACTGAGTCCATCTGAGACTCCAGTGTGAGTTTTAGGTGCAGAAGCACTCCCAAATTGCAGACCCTACCCTTTAGGAGAAGTGCAACCCCATCCAAGACAGAACAACGGCCATCTAATCCTTCAGACAGATCATTAACCAGTAGCACTTTCATCTTGCCTGGATTGGGTTTCAGTTTACTGGCCCTCATTCAGTCCATTACTGAACTCTGACAATGGGCCAGCACAGAGATTGCCTCACCCGGATCTGATGTAAACGAGAGGTGAAGCTGAGTGTCGTCAGCATACTGCTGATACATTCCTGTTCTCAGAGAGCAGCTGGCACAGTTCTTTCTGCGCTTGCTGCCAGGAGAAGTGCCTGAGCTTCAATTCCCAGCTCTAGGGTTGGGGGTCTGTTTCCGACCTTGGAACAGGGAATCCAAATTATCCTCAAGCTCCTCAGACAACGTCTAGGATCATTCTTAGCAGTAAACAAGGATAAGTCAATAAAGAAACTTTTGTGGCAAATGTCTCACCTTTTTTGTATGCACAACCTTGGCAATAGTGAGAGCCTGGCTGATGAACTGAACTTTTACAGATCCGGCATACTGCAAATTTATTTTTGCCATAAGGATCAAACCTGGGAAGGCAAAAGTAACTGAGTTATCTGTTTACATAACGTATTCCTGTTTACTTTTATATAGGTGCAGAACACAAGGGGCAGGGGAAAGCAGGCAGGCCAGAATAAAGCTCTAAAAAGACACTTCCCAGTACCAGATGCAATCATTCACAAATGTACACCAGTGATTTACAAAGGTACATTAGTATGTGCATCAACATCTTCCAAACAAGTATGCATTCAGCATGTTTTCCAAAGTTTCCTCCCACATCTCTTATAGAAAAAGATAAACCATCCCAGAGGATTTGTGCATGGCAGATACCGTAAAATGCTTTGAACAAAGGTATAAAAACTGACTGTTAATGCTCCATTTCACTTCTGCTGGGAGGACTATGAGATCAAAATGAAAAACTTCACAAATGGTTGTGAAAAGGATGCAGTGACACTCCCTCCTGCTCTGCCTCACAACATCATTACTATTTGGCCCCCACAGTCCCCAGTTCTTCTCTACTTTGTCAGGTGTTATAGCCACACAGCTTCAGTGTTCCTCTTTCTCAGCTCAAAGAGGTGGCAGTGGCCATCGTGGTAGCCACAGGTAAGGTGAAAAGAGCAGAGGGGCACACAGGAGGAATCCAGCAGGGCATGTGAAAAGAAATGCAGCAAAGGAGGATATAACTATAAGGGTACAGGATAAGCATCATCATTGCAATGAGCATCAGTGGAAAAGTGGGAAGGAAGCAGGAGGACAGCTTTGGACTAAACAACAGTGTGTGTGGGCGGTGGGTGGAAAGTGAAAATAAAGGACAAGAAGGTACTTGTGCGGTGAAACAAAAGAAACAAATATAGGAGAAGGGAAATTCAAAAGAATGTAAGGAAAGGAGTTGACCAATTAGCTATTTCCCCCTCAGAATTTGAAATGTCTTACTTCATATAATAAGACTTCAATTACCTTGCCTTCTTTGATGTCAATGCCTTATTTTCATTTAGTTTTCTTCCACCACTTTCTATAGACAAAAAGAATTGTTTAGAATAATTACATGGAAAATATTATAAATTAAAGCTAAAGATTCTTTTCAGCAAAATTCCTCAGCATGTATCTCTCAAGGAAGACTAATCTACATATGTGTCAGTGGTGAGCAAGCAGGTATAAAGGTACCAATCTGGACACCATCTATATCTTGCCAAGTCTATTGATCAATTGTCTAGTGTTCAGTACTAAACATCAGAAGGAGAAAATTCTGTATGAGATGATTCTATCTTCATAACAAAATGCTGCTCCCTTTCTGAGCAGAGACATACCACAAGTTAACTAACCACATATAAGCACATGACTATTGAGATGATTATAATAAAGAATACACAGCTTGAAGGAAAGAGCTGCAAACTTTATGTACTATTTCCATTTTCAATGGTAAACATAAAATTTAAATATATATTAGACATTTTCAAAAATTAGACTGTTCTGATAAATCGATATATTTGAGACGTACCTGTAGTGTTTCTTGCACCATCTTTCCATGTATCAGGAGTAATTACAGTACCAAGTTTTCTCTCACCTATGCAAAAATGTAGAAATGCAAAATAAAGTCTGTGATAAGCCATTCAGTCTTTACAGACATAACATGCTGAACAGTCATATGACGCCATATGAAATGAAGACTTCCACTGACAATGCATAGACTCTAATTCTACAGGTAAAGGAAGGAAGGAAAGTCCCACTGAATCTAGGAATAGGTACCACTGAACACAGTACATCTTGCTTATCTACTGCAGCCATTTCCACTGAACACAAAGCCCTGTTGGATTAGACCAAAGACCTATCTAGGCCAGTATTCTGTTCTCTACAAGAAGCCTATGAGAAGCACAGTGCAAGTGGGACATGAGGGGCAATCTCCCTCTCCCACTTTGTACACCACCCATGGCAATCAAAGAGTGCTGCTTTTGATTATGAGGACAGCAAACAGTCCCCATTATTAGTATCCCCTCCAAGCTGTTTCCTCTAGGTATCAATGCTACCTTCCCTATGACACTCTTATCAGGCTGGCAAACCTCCTGCTCTGAGCTGAAAGCATTCCAAGGCAGCATTCCTGATCTCCTAAGACAAAAGATATGCGTTTACTGAATCTAGACTGGTGGTTCACCTCACTCCCCAAAAAAGAATCCTTCCTCCTGTGTTTCTTCTACATGAGTCACTCATCCAGGAAGCCTATGCATTAACTCATTCAGGGACCCAACAAATAACCTCCTATGGAGGCGGTGAGTGGAGACACCCCCCTCCCAAGAGGCTAACAGCAATGACGCAAACAAGGAAACAGAAACGAAGCTCTGCTATGGACTTAGGGAGCCGTGAGAGGACTGTGTTTAATTCGTATAGATATTCAGCTACTGGGTAGCCAGGAAACAACATACAGACATACATACAAGTGCCTGCCCGAGGGCAAACCACCACCCTGGGGTCTCACTAGGCCTATTGCAGTCACGGCTTTTTAAAACACCCCCAGCAAGCACGCACTAGCCCCGCTCCCTCGGCAACTCACACTTCTCGCACACCATCACGGAGCCTTCGTGGCGCCGTAAGGTCAGCAGATTGTGACGCCGCCGACCCAAAACACGACACAACGCTCCACTTCCGGCGGCCGCCTAAGCAGCTGCTGCGGCTTCTTCTTCCGGGTTCGTCCACCTCGCGCTTCCCACCTGCCCCCTCTCCCGCGCCTATTGGCTGAGACCGCCGAAGGGGCCGGCCAATCGCGTGACGTATGGAAGATGCTGGGCAGCGCGCGCCGCCGCCGCTTTGGCTCTCGCGTCTCGTAGGAGACGGCGGTGGCTGCCGTGACCCGCAAGGTTTCGCCCCCGGGCTCCAGGCAGACGGGCAGGTAAGGTGCAGGGGCTCGCGTCCCCTCTGGAACCCTGCGCCGGCCCAGCCGCTTGCCTCTGCCCAGCAGGCCGCATCTTGGAACGCCCCCTCGCTTCGCCGGGCGCCGTGGGGTGGGCGGGGTGGTCCGTCCGTCGGGGAACTTGGTCTCTCCTTGCTGTTCTTGACTCGCGTGGGAGCAATTCCCTGTTAGATTACGAAGAGCCCGCTCAGTAGCGCTTTCGTTAGGGGCGCCGTCCTGTGCAGGGCGAGGCAGAAAACGTGCTGGCCCAGCACGCCCCGGCCAGCAGGTAGGAGTTGTGGAACTCGTTTTCTGCTTATGCGTGCCCGGAAATGTGTCCTGGCTCGCTTAAGTATCCTCTGTAAGACAGGAGGAAGTAGCCTTGTGCGCACACTGCTGCAGGCTGCTCGGAAGGGCGTTAGGTACTAATGAACAGTGACTCCTGCAGGGATACATCGAGCTCCCAGGCGGATGTGCTGTGCTGTGATTCCGCACTCAAGGCAGGAGATGTTTGGAATAGAGGACAGGGCTGTTGGAACTTGCAACCACTTCTGTGGACAGATGTTGAGGCACTTGTAAGCAGTGGTTGCCAAATGCTCTTATTCACATGAGCCAACTGAAGTCCAAAACATTCGGGGATCCATTTACTTCCCTGCCTGCACTAGAGAAAGGATATCATCCCACAGAGTCTGATGAAGTACTAATTCCCTGTGGTTCATTTATCTTGCAAATGTAGGATTAGAGACATCCTTAATAAAATTAAGTGCTTGAATTAACGCATTGGCTGACACCTATCCCTCCTTTTGGTTCTGCCGCCAGCCAGAGGGCGCCAGGTAGCCTTGTCAACCACCCCTCCGGCCTAACGGTGCTGCTGCTCAATGCCAGGTCGGTCAATAATAAATCTTCCCTCATCCATGACTTGATTGTAGATGAGGGGGCCGACCTGGCTTGCATAACGGAGACCTGGGCGGGAGAGGGAGGGGATGTTGCCCTCTCCCAGTTGTGCCTGCCCGGGTATCTGGTTCAACACTGTTCACGCCCAGAAGGGAGGGGAGGGGAGGGGGAGTCGCGTTGGTTTACCGAGCCTCCATCTCGGGTCTTCCGGTCCCTTCGAGACCAGGGCTGGAGTGCCTCTACTTGGTGTTGGGCGAACGAGACAGATTGGGGATTCTATTGGTGTACCGTGCACCCTTCTGCCCAGCAGTCTCCCTATCTGAGCTGACAGAGACCGTCTCGGACCTGGTGTTGAGGACCCCCAGGATGTTGGTCCTGGGGGACTTCAATCTCCATGCCGAGTCTGGACTGACCGGGGCGGCTCAGGACTTCATGGCCTCTATGACGGCCATGGGCCTGTCTCAACACGTCATCGGCCCGACCCATGAACGTGGACACACTCTGGACCTGGTTTTCTCGACAGGGCAGGAAGAGGATGACCTGAGGGTGAGGAACTTATGTTTGACTCCCCTGTCATGGTCAGATCACCTCCTGGTGAGGTTTGTGCTCGAGAGCGGCCTCTCCCTCTATAAGAGTGCGGACCCGATTGTATGAGCCCGCCCCCGGAGCCGGATGGATCCGGATGGATTCCTGAAGGCCCTGGGGGAGTTTCCGGCTGACAAGACTGGTGCTCCTGTCGAGGCTCTGGTCGAACTGTGGAACGGAGAGATGACCAGGGCTGTGGACACGATCGCTCCCAAGTGTCCTCTCCCACCGGGCAGAGTCCGCTCTTCCCCTTGGTATACACTTGAATTGCGGGCGATGAAGCAGGTTGGGAGACGGCTAGAACGTAGGTGGAGGAAATCACGGGATGAATCTGACCGAACACACTTGAGAGCCCACTATCGGGCCTATGCTGTGGCGGTGAAGGTGGCGAAAAAGAAGTTTTTTTCCGCTTCCATTGCCTCCTCACAATGCCGTCCGGCGGAGCTTTTTCGAGTGGTACAAGGCCTGGTTCGCCCAGGTCCTAAGGAAGATCTGATGCCACCCTCAAAGGCCCGCTGTGACGACTTTGCCAGGCATTTCAGGGAGAAAATCGCTCAGATTCGTCACGAGCTGGACTCCACTAATGAATCAGAGGTCTCTGGGGAGACGCCAATGCTACCGTCTGGTCCAAAATTGTTGGAGGAATTTCAATTATTGCGGCCCAATGATGTGGACAAGGTTCTTGGACAAGTACGTCCCACCACTTGCCTATTGGATCCTTGCCCGTCTTGGTTAATAAATAACTCCAAGCACGGGATTGAGACCTGGATCTTGGAAGTGGTTAACGCTTCTCTGAGGGAGGGTCGAGTGCCTGCCCCTTTAAAGGAGGCGGTAATACGACCGGTCCTGAAGAAAGCGTCACTGGATCCAGAGATGGCCACTAACTATAGACCTGTGGCCAACATCCCGTTTCTGGGCAAGGTGTTGGAGCGAGTGGTGGCGGGACAACTCCAAGCACTCTTGGATGAAACTGATTATCTGGATCCTTTTCAGTCCAGCTTCAGACCCGGGTACAGTACTGAATCTGCCTTGGTCGCCCTGTACGATGACCTGTGCAGGGAGAAGGACAGGGGGAGTGCATCCCTGTTGGTTCTTCTGGACCTCTCGGCGGCTTTCGATACCATCGACCATGGTATCCTTCTGGATAGGCTAGCGGGATTGGGGGTTGGAGGCACTGCTTTGCAATGGTTCCGCTCCTATCTCAACGGTCGATTCCAGAAGGTAGTGCTGGGGGACCATGTCTCTGCGTCATGGCAGCTATGCCATGGAGTACCACAGGGCTCCATTCTATCCCCTCTGCTATTTAATATCTATATGAAACCTCTGGGAGAGGTCATCAGGAGGTGTGGGCTGCGGAATCATCAGTACGCTGATGATACCCAGCTCTACCTCTCGTTTTCCACTAATCCAGGTGAGGCAGTGGCTGTGCTGAACCGGTGCTTGGCTGAGGTAATGGAATGGATGAGGGCCAATAAACTGAAACTCAATCCAGACAAGACGGAGGTCCTGTTGGTTGGCGGATCGGGCTTCGGAGAGGGTGGATTTGACCTGGTCCTGAATGGTGCAACACTCCCTCTTAGGGATAAGGTCCGCAGCTTAGGAGTACTCCTCGACCCGGTGCTTTCTTTGGAAGCTCAGGTGACAGCGGTGGCGAGGAGCGCCTTCCTTCAGCTTCGGCTGATTAATCAGCTGCGCCCCTACCTGCAGTTCGACTGCCTGGCGACGGTGACACACGCGCTGGTGACTTCCCGCCTAGACTTCTGTAACGTGCTTTGCGTGGGGCTTCCCCTGAAGACAGTCCGAACACTTCAATGGGTGCAAAATAGAGCTGCCAGGTTGCTGACGGGGACAGGGCGTTATGCTCACATGACTCCAGTCCTCCGTCAGCTTCACTGGCTGCCCATTGAAGCCCGGGCCCAATTCAAGGTGTTGATTATGACCTATAAAGCCCTAAACGGCTTGGGTCCCAGCTACCTGAACGAGCGCTTACGTCCGTATATGCCCGACCGCCCTTTGAGATCTGCGGGAGAGTCCCTTCTCCGGGAACCCTCCATGAAAGAAATTAGGAGAGTAAGTACTCGGAGGAGGGCTTTCTCTGCGGTGGCGCCCAACCTATGGAATTCACTCCCCAAAGAGGTCCGCCTGGCACCGTCGTTACTGGTTTTTCGGTGCCAGGTAAAGACCTTTTTATTTAAACATCATTTTAATTGTTAAAACATATGATCTGGCCAGGGCAACTACTTCTTCCTTCTCTTTTCTCCTCCTACATTATTTATTTACTTATTTTATACTGATAATTTTAATTTTATATTATTATGTTTGTAACTCAATGTATTTTTGTATTTTTGTATTTAATGGTAATTTATTATGTTCTATTGTATTTCAATGTATTTTATTGTGTTGTAAGCCGCCCCGAGGCTTCGGCAAGGGGCGGCATAGAAATGTTTTAATAATAATAATAAAAATAATAATTTTTAGCACAGCATATTTTGTTTTAGTTTATTAGAAATCATAACTTGTTGACAAATGTAGCTCAGATAAAATGGATTTATAGGGTTAGAGCCAGGCTCTGCCTTCAGTGAAAGTCAGGATGTGCTTATGGAAGTAAGGTAAAGGTAAAGGTTTCCCCTTGACATTAAGTCCAGTCAGGCCTGACTCTAGGGGGCAGTGCTCATTTCCGTTTCCTAGCTGAGGGAGCCAGCGTTTGTCCACAGACAGTCTCCGTGGTCATGTGGCCGGCATGACTAAGCACCGAAGTGCACGGAACACTGTTACCTGCCCACCGAAGTGGTACCTTTTCATCTACTTGCATTTGCATGCTTTCAAACTGCAAGGTTGGCAGGAGCTGGGATGGAGCAATGGGAACTCACTCCGTTGTGCAGATTCGAACCTGCCACCTTTCGATCAACCAGCCCAGCAGCACAGCGGTTTAAACCACTGCGCCACCTGCAGTCCCTTACGGAAGTACCCTCTGCCTAATTTTGGAAGATGCCCCCTTTCTCTCCCCACCACAAGTCACCCCGCTTGGTGGGGTCTCCTGGCATTCTGGGTAGCACTTTTAGGAGACTAGAGAAACTGTTGTGGGAAAAACGAGCTAGGAAGTTCCCTTCTTGTGCATTTAAGTTTTAATTTTGATCCAACCTTTGTGGAAATCTAGTGAATGATTAATTCATACTTCTGGACCCATGATGAGAAATTCTGCATCTAAAGAGTTTATGTACATCCCAGTCCTTTATTGTTTGCTATTACGAAATACAGTATGTTCCAGAGTGTTTACTCAAGTCTAAATTCCACTGAATTCAGTGGGACTAATTCAGGCGAATTCATCAGTTGTACTGTTAATTTTAGTTGACTTTGAACATTTATTTATTTATTTATTAAAACATTTCTATGCCGCCCCATTCGCCGAAGCCTCGGGGCGGCTCACAACATAAAAATTAAAATATGATACAAACAACAAATTAACAATATAAAATAAGTCGCCCTGGCCAGATAAAATAAGCAAATAATATTAACAATTAAAATGACGTTTAAATAAAAAAGTCTTCGCCTGGCGCCGAAAAACAAATAATGACGGCGCCAGGTGGACCTCTCGGGGGAGCGCATTCCATAGCTTGGGCGCCACCGCAGAGAAAGCCCTCCTCCGAGTACCTACCCTCCTAATTTCTTTCACGGAGGGTTCCCGGAGAAGGACCTCTCCTGCCGATCTCAAGGGGCGGCTGGGCATATATGGATGTAAGCGCTCCTTCAGGTAATCAGGACCCAAGCCATTTAGGGCTTTATAGGTCATCATCAACACCTTGAATTGGGCCCGGACTTCAATGGGAAGCCAGTGAAGCTGACGGAGAACTGGAGTCATGTGAACATAATGCCCAGTCCCCGTCAGCAGCCTGGCAGCTCTATTTTGAACCAATTGGAGTATCCGGACCGTCTTCAAGGGTAGCCCCACGTAGAGCGCGTTACAGAAGTCAAGGTGGGAAGTCACCAGCCCGTGTATCACTGTCACCAGGCAGTCGTACTCCAGGTAGGGGTGCAGCTGATGAATCGGCCGAAGCTGAAGGAAAGCGCTCCTCGCCACCGCTGTCACCTGAGCTTCCAATGAAAGCTCTGGGTCGAGGAGCACTCCCAGGCTGTGGACCTTGTCCCTAAGAAGGAGTGCAACCCCATTCAGGACTAAGTTCAATTCGCCCTCTCCGAAGCCCGATCTGCCAACCAACAGGACCTCCGTCTTGTCTGGATTGAGCTTCAGTTTATTGGCCCTCATCCAGCTCATTACCTCGGCCAGGCACCGGTTCAGTACAGCCACTGCCTCACCTGGATTGGTGGAAAATGAGAGGTAGAGCTGGGTATCATCAGCGTACTGATGATTCCGCAGCCCACATCTCCTGATGACCTCTCCCAGCGGTTTCATGTAGATGTTGAACAGCAAAGGGGACAAAATGGACCCCTGCGGTACTCCATGGCATAGCTGCCATGGTGCAGAGCCATAGTCCCCCAGCACCACCTTCTGGAATCGGCCATTGAGACAGGAGCGGAACCACTGCAAAGCAGTGCTTCCGACCCCCAATCCCGCTAGCCTATCCAGAAGCATGCCATGGTCGATGGTATCGAAAGCCGCTGAGAGGTCCAGGAGAACCAACAGGGACACACTCCCCCTGTCCTTCTCCCTGCACAGGTCATCGTACAGGGCAACCAAGGCAGATTCAGTACCGTACCCGGGTCTGAAGCCGGACTGAAATGGGTCCAGATAATCAGTTTCATCCAAGAGAGCTTGGAGTTGTCCCGCCACCACCTGCTCTAACACCTTGCCCAGAAACGGGATATTGGCCACTGGTCTATAATTAGTGGCCATCTCTGGATCCAGTGACACTTTCTTCAGGACCGGTCGGACTACTGCCTCCTTTAAAGGGGCAGGCACCCGACCCTCCCTCAGAGAAGCGTTAACCACTTCCAAGATCCAGATCCCAATCCCGTGCTTGGAATTATTTATTAACCAAGACAGGCAAGGGTCCAATAGGCAAGTGGTGGTATGATATGGTTATAAATTAAATTGTGGGTCAGTTTAGATTTCCTTGGTTCCATTCTTCCAAAATCTCTTCATTGTGTGAGGAGAGCCTTGTTATAAGTATATATAAGAAAATAAATGCCTTAATTTGCTTCTCAGCCAGGTGGTGGTTGAAGAGGGAAGACCATGAAGGATAAAGAACTGAAGAGGCTGCTGTCTGCCAATGTCAGCAGTATAGCTTCTGTTATTGTAACAATTGTCATTCCCTATCTGCTTGTGGAGAACTTCTCAATCTATGGAACACACCTGACATGGTTGTGCATCTGTTCAGCAGCTGTTGGTGCTGTCACTATAATTTTACATATCATTCTTAAACCAAATCCATCCAATAGAAGAAGTTCCCTTGCCCATAAGGTAAGTGTTGATCCTTTTAAAATGTAATTGTTGTTACGTTTTGCATAAGAGTAATATTTGGTACTTTTCAGAGGCTGAGGGAGTAGTGGCTTGTCTTCAGTTGCCTAATACATGACTGAAAACAGATTTGAACAGAGAGCGTTTAGGTCCAAAGCTCAGTATTTAAGCACTGCTCTATATCAGCTGCTTCTCAAAAGAGTTGAATGTATCTAACTACCATACCTTTCAAATACCTAAGGCTGCAATGCTAAGACCATTCAAATTTACTTCTAAGTAGACATGTATAGGATTGCACTGCATTATGCTTCATTGCATTTCTATTATAAACTGTAAGACTTCTTTTTCTTTATCTACCATGTGATAATTCACTCAAGAACTAGTAAACAGTGGTCAAGATTTCTCTTTTGTGGATTAGTGCTACAGTGATAGAACCCCATAGAGTTTTATTGTATAAAACCCCATGTTCAGTCCTTTGCACATCCAGGTTTAAAGAGGGCCTTATGTGGCAGACTCCTGCCTGATCTCCTGGAAGACCATAACCATTAAGGATAGTCAGGGATCACAACATGGACCACTAAACTCAAGATATGGCATATGCTATGTGTGTGTATATACCTCTAAAACATTTAATAATGCATATTGCTTCCCTGTTTAGCTGTTTCATCACCTATGTTTCCCCGTCTGTATTAAATTTTAGGTTGTATAATCCTTGGGTAGTCCTCTTGTACTCTATGAAGCCCTATGCACACTGATGAATAAGTAAGACATAATAAAGCCTTTCTTTTATTTAAAAGGTCGCGAGGTTTCTAAGATGCTGTGTATACTTCTGCATGTCCTGTATCTTTTACCATGGAATCATTGTTCTTTATGGAGCACCACTGATGGAGTAAGTCTTATGAACCCAATATTCTATGTTTAGCCATTTGGACCTGGGTTTCCATATAGAGCCCTTTAAGGCTGCAATGTTATCCATGGTGACTTGGAAATAAGTTACCATGAGCTGTGGTCAAGTTCTCACTGAGGTGCACTACTTCAGGTTGCAGGTGTGGGCTTCCAGGTTTGAATCAAGAGTGGGATTCTGACTTAAGTAGGAAGGCCCCATAGATGAGACCAGCACTATCAGTCTGGTTCAGTATAATGTGTCACAAAACAAGAACTATAGGCAAAGTCAAGAATTCAAGCACGTGGTTTTATCCACTGGACTATACATCAAGTCACAAAGCATTATGTGTGTGTGTATAGCATATTATCAAGGAATTAAAAATGGGTAAATTATCAGAACAAGCCAGAAAAGTTTGCTTATGTCAGAGATGGAGCACCCCAATGAAATGTAATTTTTCTCAACATTTCTATTGCTTTTTCTGATAACACAAGTAAACCTGTGGATAATGAAACTGTGGATAGAATGCCATATTTCAAATTGCAATGAACAGAACTTCTTCTTGCATGTAGAAAACAAGCATGATAGGAAGAAGGCCAGGCCAGGAGTACAGAATCATAGGCCTGGGAGCCAGATCTGGCCTTCCAGGGTACTCTTTTCTCCAGTTGTGGTTTCCTGGCTTTTGTCCCTATTCTAAAGGGTGGAAATCACTCTCAGGCCTTAGTTATAGCAGTGAGAACTTTAAGCTAAAGCACTGTGGAATTTTGGCCCAACCTGTTTTGCTTCTGACCCTGCCCAGGGTTGGAATTTGCCCCCCTCAAATGTCTCTGAAATAGATTTTGGAATACAGATTTTGTTTGGTTGAAACAACTTTTGTCCTGCCCCACTCTGCTTTTTCTCCCAAATGTCAAACATGTTTATCTGTATGGAGAGGGTTTGAATTCATGGAGAACCTGTCATTCCCTCCATCACCCAGCCTGAAATGAAGCAAGCTGGTGCCCACCAGCAGTTGTTGGACTACAGCTTCTGTAACCCATTTCCATTGGCCAGACTGGCTGAGCTTGACTGGAGTTGTAGTCCAAAACATCTGTTGGACACCAGACTGTGAACCCCTGGTATAGACATACACTTCGTTCTTCATTCAGAACTAGATACTTGCTCTGAAGTAATCCTGAGTTCCTAAAGAATGTGAGTGTGTATCATTCGGAAGCAATTTGCTGAAACAAAGAAGAATTTAAGATGTGAAAGTGTCCTAAAACAATGGCTTATTTTGAAAACACAAAGCAGTCAGTGAAACTTATATTACACAAATTGGTGTAAGTTTGAGCGTGGGTATAATAAGTAAGATCTAAATTCCTGGGGATCTCTTGGTGGAATGTGCTAGAAGTTCTCTGCAATTGCCACTGACTTATGTCTCCAAGAGCAAATAATTAAAAATAGAAAGTGGTGTTTGGGAAGGGGAACATGCATGAGATTCTTGACTGGGAAAAAAGACTTCTTGGTTTGAACTCTCCATGTTTGCAGCACTGAGTGCATTCTGAGATCATAAGTAATAGTTTATCATGACAAAAATCACAAGCCTTTTCCCAGTTGTATGCGCTTATCCTGCAGAGCAATTTGACATGCAGAGCAATTTGAAAACATTCATTGCTGTTTTCTGTCATCATTTGTCATGTTGTCTGAAGCATGCAAACTGCAGTTAGTCTTCGCTGATTTGGTTGAAACAGGCCAACCTGAAAACATGGTGTTTGACACCTGCTTGTTTCATCCAAACACGATTAAAGTGAAACCTCTTTTAGAGTTTGGATGTAATGAGAAAGTGTGGTCAATCACAAATGGAAGCAACAACTTGTAACTGCACTGGAGGAGGGAATGTGCACACACAGGAGGTGTCTAACCACATTTTCATTGCTGTAGCTTTTTGTGGCACCTAAGTACTTCTGCTGTTTAATTCTAACTGATCCTGACCCCTTACTGTCGCTTATTGTGCTGTTTGTTTCCTTTCTGTTGGATTTCCCAAGATATATTTTTAAAATAGCTTAAGGTTGCAGTCCTTTGTAGGTTTAGATATACTGAATGAGGCATGGTCGGAGTTAGGGGATTGTGCCTTCATAGGATTGTGCCTTTACTAATTTTTGTTATTGCATCCCTTCTTTACAGATCAGTCCTGGAGACCTTCTTATTTGCAGTTCTACTGTCCACATTTACCACGCTGCACTGTTTGTGTTTGCTGGGGCCGAACATTCAAGTTTGGCTCAGAGTGTTCAGTAAAAATGGGTAAGCAGCTTGCAGATTTCTCACTTGGCAATGCCATGGATGCAGTTGAAATGAGCTTGGCTTGCATCTGATTTAGAAAACTCAATTAAATTCACTATTGTTCAAAAATGAAATGGAGGGCAAAAACTGGCTGTTGAACAATCTAGTATAGCCCTCCTCAAACTCCATGTTTTAGACTACAATGTCCATCATCCCTGGCCAGCTTGTCCAATGGGAGTGATCAGAGTTGCAGTCTGAAACATCTGGGGGATGCCCATTGGAGGAAGGCTGTAGTAGGATAACTTCTCATAAGGGGATCCCATGTGAGAAGGGACGACTGAAATGTCACTCTTCCTATTACCAAGGTTGATGGGCTAAGTAAAAATAAAGTTTAAGTCTGTGAAAGCTTTTGATATGTTGCCGCATAGGCTTATTTGTAGAAAAAGTAGATCAGATGGAGGCAACTACTGTGAGCAGAGCAAGGCATGTTTAAGTCTCTGCCAATGCATATTTGTGATGAGTTACTAACATCTACAAACGTTGCCAAAGAGCCACTGTACACTGACACCCCTTTAGTAATGGAGGCAGTTCCAGGCCCACACAGACACAAATTTAATGCACACTTGCCTTAGATACTCATTCATTAAAATATTTTAAACTTGCCCTTTGATATCAATGGACCCCCATTCTAATGACCACAGTTTTCACTCTTCACTTTATCCCTTAGAGCATATGGAGGTCACTGCACTTCCCCTCTTCCTAAATTAGGTGCAGAGTCTCTTACAGCTCAGAGGCCAAATTTTGTTTCAGAGAAACTCAAGGGGGAGGCTATTCCACTGTTGTATGTGGCCAAAGGCCAAGTGGGCAAAGCCAAATATACAAAAGAAAAATACTTCCCTGTATTAACCCTCAAGAGGGACACAGTGGTACAGCGGGTTAAACAGCTGAGCTATTGAGTAGAAGGTCAGCAGTTCAAATCCACACGACGGGGTGAATGCCCACTGCTTTGTCCCAGCTCTTGCCACCCTAGCAATTTGAAAGCATGCAAATGTGAGTAGATAAGTAGGTACCACTTTGGTGGGAAAGGCAGCAGCATTCCGTGTGCCTTGGCATTCAGTCATGCCATCCACATGACCACAAAAGCTGCTTCAGACAAAGCTGGCTCTTTGGCTTACTAACAGAGCTGGCATGACAGAGTCTGACATGACTAGCACACATGTGCAAGGAAACCTTTACCTGTTAACCCTGAAGAGGCACTTCTGTCTTTGGGAATGGGGGTGGGTATACAACAGGTGTGAAACCACCCAACCATCAGTGGCTGTGGTTAAAGGGGTGAGGTTGCTTAGGGAGCCCCAGGAAAGCCAGATTTAGCCCCTGCATGTCAGACATTGCATCTAAATAATTCCCCCCGACCCCGTATGCATAGCCCTGCTCTAGGCCATGTTGTGCCCAACACATCACACTGAACTGTGCTTTAGCATTAAGAGGACAGGTCCCAGGTCCCCTTTCTGAAATGGATCAGAAACTCCTTGCATTTCATTTCAGTGATTATGCCACCAAGCAGGTGAAGCTCTTTGGCTGCTTTACAGAAAATAAAAACCTTAAAAATAAAATAGTGTAACACGATATCAAACCATTTGCATGCAACATGTAAGCAGATTAGTATCTATCAATCAAAACTGTTGAAATTACACTGTTGTTTGTTAGCACCTCCTACATCGTATTCTGTTTTGTACCTTTGCAACTAGGTGAAATTGTACTCTGTTGCACAGTTGTGGTGCCCCTGCTTCTCTCTGAAGGGATGTGAGTTTTTTTCCCATTCCATTCCAACGTAAAAAATAAAAAGTCACAACTCGGGGAAATCTGTGTTGTCCACCCTCGATGCAAGTCAGCCTTCAAATATGCTACTTACGTGCATCCAGTGTGAGGTGTAGCAGCAGCAATTGTGGCCTCCTTATTGTGGACACCGTTCAGCTGCTTGCAGCTGAAGCACTGTGGAAGGGGAGGGAAGGAAGCCAGGGCAGCATTTGGATGTCACATAAGCCATCAGCCCCAGCTTCCTCCCTCCCTCCCTTGCCCCCCTCCCTTGCATGCCCCCTCAGCCCTCTTCAGGGTTGCTTTCCAACCTCAGAGATGCAGCTGGGTTGACTTTCTGTGCTTGCTGCAAGGGAGGGCAGGGGGCTCCCTGTTTGGAGTCTCAGCTCCAATTTTGGAGGGATGTAGGATCACACTTCTCATTTATTTCTAATTTTGCATCAACATTTTAAACATGGTTGATCGTAACTATAGTTAATGAAAACATGCTGGTTTGACAAGCTGTGACTTAAAGCTGTTTTCTTTCCATGCATCATCAAGATTAACTGGAGTTTATTTGGATGTCATTATAAAATGTAGTTAGCATAAAAAAGAAACAAAGGTTTGCAACTTTCTCTTCACCATGCCAAGGGGCCATGAGAAGTGTATGAGCCCGAAACTCACCCTGCCTGGTCCTTGGAATACATATCTGGAGTTACCGTTGCGTATTCCTTGCAGCCAGAGGTGGAACTGAGAAATTGGCTTATATGATTAACTTTTTAAATTGATGTATACAAACACAGCAGAGGCTGCACAGGGCTATATTATACATAGTTCCCCCAAAGTATGGAGATAGCAATATGTAGTCTCCAGGCATCATCTGGGGGGCGATAGGATTGTTTGGAGGTTGACCCCCTGAGGCTGGAGACAAGGAGTCGGCAGGTTTATCCCGCCCCGCCCCCACTCCCTCACAGCCAAGACGGAAAGAACTGCACCAGCTGTTCCCCAAGGTCAGAAAAGCAGCCTTGGAGCAGGGAAAGGGAGGATTTTAATGGACAGAGCAGGGAGGAGACTTGAAAGGCCAGGATATGAGATTTCCTGAATCCTTCCCAACCTCCTTCGCTCCCACTCCAGAGCAGCCCAGCTGGGCAGGCAAGAAGCCCATCTAGTGAAAGATGCAGGGTTAGGGCTAGGGTTAGGGTTGGGGAAGCAAACCTTACCTCTGCTGCCCTGTGTGGGATGGTTGAACACCTCAGTCTGGAGGCTTAGAATAACTTAGGGTGGGGTGCAGATGAAAGGGCCTTGTCCTTAGCTCATTAACACGGCTTTGCTTTCCTTGCACTCCACCCCACCCCTTCTTTTGTTAAATTCTGCTGTGTCTTCTTAATGGAAACTATGGTTTTTGGCTGCAATAATGTTAGGTTCCTTTTTTAATGCTTTCTGTTAAATATTTGATGATCCAATTTATACAGTGACTATCCGTAGGTTGTTTAAACGATGATGCTTGCAGCTGCAGGGGCGAGTGTTTTCCTGACCACTTCAGCTTTGATAACTGACCCAGGAATGGCACCTTCACCCCCCCCCCCGCCCCCATTCTTGGTTTGTGCTTTACGGTTTGCTTTTGGGTTAAAACTCTGGGTTGTCTCTCCTTCAGTAAGTGCCCCATTCCTGGGTTGATTACCAAAGCAAAAGCAACGTGGAAGTGGCAAGCAGTTGGGAGTTGCTCAGCCCCACACAGCCCAGCCACTCGAGGCCAAACTAACATGTGATGTGGTGATAGTTATGTGCAAGCTGGATCTATGGAAAACAGTTACCCCAAAACTTTTTGGATCCTTGCACCCTTTTGAGAAAACAAGAGGGGCACAAAATGACTTCCATGGGGGAGGTGGCTGGTCACATAATGCATCATTATGCATCAGGCATGGGGCTTGGCTACTCCGAAGTTGGCTAAAGCAAGTCTTAGAGAGAAATAGCAAGTCTAGAGGCTGCAAGGAGAGGAAAAGAGAAAGGCAAGGGGGTAAGTGGGAGGGAAGGAGGCTGGAAAGGGAGAAAAGGAAGATTTCCCAAACATTTTTACAAGGCTTATCTTTGAAAAAGGTCTTTCTGAAGGGGCAGCAATGAAGAGCTTTGTGGGTGCCACAGCAGCTGTGGGCACCATTTTGGGGTGACATCTGTTGCAAAACTTCCTGTTAAGCATAAAAACGCACCTGCTGTGAATACACTGAACCATCCAGATGCCCTGTTCTCCAGCCAGCCATGTGATGTTCCTTTGAAAATGGACCACGTCTCAATTTCAGTGAGTGCTGGGCTTAGTTTTGTTGGGATGCATGCTGGCAGCTCCTGCCATGTGCTTGGCTCCCCCATTTAAGGCGCCCACCATTCCAGTTCAGCTGGCCTCTGTCCTAAGGGCGAAAATGGCAAGATTCCCTTCAAAATCTCTGCTGTGTGCATGAATGGACTAAATAGCTTGTGAGGTCTGTGGCTAGGAGGCAACTTGTGCCAGTTCAAGTGTGCAGGTTCACGGATGGGATTCCCTGCCTGCCTGCCTGCCTCCACAGCTAGAATGTTTGGGTGGCACAGGCTGGGAAATGGGGAGTGGCGGAGGCCGGCGTTGTCATCTTGTGCTTTTTTGGTGGCTGCTATTTGGCCAGTCAAGCAGGTGGCGCAGTGGTTTAAACCACTGTGCTGCTGGACTGGTTGATCGAAAGGTTGCCGGTTCGAATCTGCACAACGGGGTGCGTTCCCGTTGCTCCGTCCCAGCTGCTGCCAACCTTGCAGTTCGAAAGCATGCAAATGCAAGTAGAAGAAAAGGTACCACTTCGGTGGGCAGGTAACAGTGTTCCGTGCACTTCGGTGTTTAGTCATGCCGGCCACATGACCACGGAGACTGTCTGCGGAGAAACGCTGGCTCCCTCGGCTAGGAAATGGAGATGAGCGCCGCCCCCTAGAGTCAGGCATGACTGGACTTCACGTCAAGGGGAAACCTTTACCTTTACCACCTTTTTCAGGACTGGTGCCTTTGTTCCCCTATCTCTTTATTCTGGTGTTGGGTAGAACTGGGGTGCTGCTGGAGTGGGGTGCTACCCTACCGGGGTTCTTGCTTAAGTGACAAAGCTGATGATGGAGAAATGCAGAATTTCTCCTTGGGACCTGCCTTCTGCTGAGTCAGGCCACCTGGCTCCGTATTGTCTATATCAGGGGCAGTGGAGGACATGTGTCCCCCCCTC